GATTTAAAACTCTGCAGTTTTACCTGCTTGACATATGTTCTGCTTGATTTTATTTTAATGCCATTAAAACTGCCTTTGCAACAGCTAGTTGGTTAAGGTGGCATCATGAAAGCTGGAGGCTGTGAGAGGAGAGGCCCGCAGTCCCAGGTGGCTCAAGCACTGCAAGGAACTGGGATGGCTCCAGTGGTGGACACTGCTCAAGGCACGTTGTCTGACCCCAGTCCCAGCCGTGGGTCTGGGCGCTGATGGTTTTGTGAAGGAAAGGGACAGCTTCTGTAGGGCAAATCTGCCCGTGAGAGATTTCTGTGAGAGGATTCTGGCTGAAAGGAGAAATGTCCCTTTACCGAGACTGGGCGAGCTGGATATCCCTCCACCCATATGAGATCACCTCACAGTGACGAGATGGCCAGCCCAGCCCTTCTCAAGGAGAAAAGCTTGTTTGGACAGTAAATCGTTGCGAGTGAGTGAGCAAGCGAGTGAGTGAGTGAGCGAGCAAGTGAGTGAGTGAGTGAGTGAGTGAGTTCATGGAAGCAACCTGCCTGGTTTATCCGTTTAATCCTGTCTGTTACATGGATAAGAACAGGATGTCTTTCCTCGCCCATGTCAAGAGCAGATTTATTGCTTGACGGCTCCAGGAGGAGCCATGCCTTGGCCCATCCTGCTGTGTGACAAAAGGCAGTGGCAGGAAAACCAACCCATTCATAATCAGAGTTGGCAGTGAGTCTGTTTGGGTGCACAGCAGCATCCACATATGGGTCTTTTCTTCCAGAAATATCCCTCTGGCCTTACAAACAAGAGTTGCTGATGGAACCAAAGCTGACAAGCTCCCAGAGGCTGAGCTGCCCTTCTCTGGACCGTGCTACTCCTGGCAAGAGGAGAGATGAGGCAAGTGCCAGGGTTTCAGGGATCAGAGTGGTGGCAGTGGCCCTGGGAGTTGCAGCTGCCCTCCCCAGAGCATTCCCTTGAGGGCTGTCAGGACCAGGCACTAACTAAATCCATGTGCTGCTGTGCAAGTGGAGCTTTCTCCACTGTCCTCTGCCGCCACTGCTATTTGTGGAAGAAAGCAGGAAGAGCTACCCAGATCTGCCCATTAGTTTTCACCAACCTGAAGCCGGGTGCTTGAAGGAGGCAGGACTCAGGGATGTCCTGCATCCTTACTCGGGGACATCACCTTACACATCTGGTTGCTCATTAGTAAACATCTGCAAATGGGGTGAGCGCTCCCTGGCTCTGCAGGGCCTGCGGGATGGGTACCTCTGCCTAGCTCGTTCATCAGCAAGCAGGAGGTGACCGAATGGAGGTGTTTAGGTGAAACATCTGCTTTTATTCTGTTAAAGAGCATTTCTTTCTTTGGACCATCTCAACAGACACCAACCATGCCTACAGGCTGTGCATGCAAGAAGGGATGGGGAAAAAGCCCCGGCCTCACACTTCCCTGCAGCAGCAGCTGGCTGTAGGGCGACTGGACAGCCCATGGACCCCAGCAACATGTCCCCCACCTCCCAGGAGGTGCTACTGATGGGGGCCTCCTCCGTCCTCAGCACCTCCAAGACAAAGTCCTGGCAGGCTGCAGAAATGGTGTTCGCTCCTGCCACGCAGGAATGGGCTCGAGGCTGTACCCGTTGCACGCCTGTGGCATTCATCCAGCCAGCCATCACTCGCCCCAGAGGAATACGATCTTCCAGTCGCAGTGGAAAATTACAGGCGTGTTTAATAGAGTTGCTTCAGCAGGCTAAATCTTCTGGGATATGACCATGTTGCTGAAAATGACTGACCATCTGGTACTACCGGCCTGCCTAAATGGAAAGCCGGGCTGGTATGGGTAAACATAACAACTCGGGAACAAATAGCTGCACTGTATTTTTTTTTTT